ACTCCCTTCATTGGCTGGGCTTAGTCAGGGTTCTCTAGAGCCACAGGACACAGGGAGTGAGTGAATCTCTCTGTCTCTCTCTTTCTCTCCATGTATATATATGTATATGGTGTATATGTATGTGTACATGAATATATGCACATGTACACACTATGGAATGAATCATGAATCTATTTTTTCTATATACACTATATATAGAGATATAGATATTTTCCTCTCTGTATATAAATATATATAAACATGCACATATATAGAATTTATTGGAATGACTTACAGGCCGAAGTCCAACTAATCCAACAATGGCTGACTGTGAATGGAAAATCCAAGAATCTAGTTGTTGCTCAGTCCCTCAAGGCTGGGTGTCATAGCTGGTCTGCTATATAAGCTGGAATCCCGAAGGAGTAGGCTCCAATGCCAGTGAAGAAATGGATGTGTTAGCAAGGCAAGGGCAAGCTGGCAAGAAGCAAGAGCTTCTTTCCTCCATGTTCTTACATAGGCTTCCAGCAGAAAATATGGGGCAGATGAAAGGCATGTCTCAGGATCTGAATCAAAAGCTTGAGTCTTCCAGCCTCAAGATTTGGGTCATAGGTGTGCCCTCCATTTCTTGATCAAAAAGTTTATTCAATCCACCCCTTGTCAACATGACACAAATCATATGTCATATACAAATGAAAGCAACCAGGTCATAATAACGCCTAACATAACTGTCCCCCATATAACCGCACACACAGTGTAAGTTTATAGTAGGTGGCAATGTCCCTTGGGGACATCATTTTAGTGTCTCAGACTTAAATATGATAACCATTGACATTCTCTTAATAGATGTTAAAGAAATTGAAAAAAAAATCTGTTGAAATGTGTTTTTTGACAAAATCCAAACAGAAGCACACATGTCAATTATAATCTTTGTTTCTGCAACTGGTCACGTGGCCTTAGATGACAGAGAGTAGATATAAGGTGAGAGCGAAATATGAGGGGTCCTGGAAGTGATAAAAGCTAGTGTGAGGTTAAGAAAGGCAGATGTCAGGTTGGTAATTATGAGTATGATCATAATCTAATGAGTCAGAATCATTAATTTTAGTTAAACTAAGTACCAATTATTCTGTTCATTCTAGTCCTTTTTTTATTCACTCATAGGCTAGTCCGAGTAACTTTCCTTCTCTATTACCCATTCTGTATTTCCTCCACCCTGTTCAAGCACCTCAGAGGGTCTTGGCTGTATTCTTGGAGAAGTGACCCATATCTTCATTCCTAATGGGTCTGTACCCTTTGTCATGCTGCCTGGATTAAGCTGTTGTAGTTTCTCATGGGCTTTAATCACAGGACAGTGTAGTACCAAGAGACACCCTAAAGGATCTCCTACACTTCAGACATAATCCTTCTAACCTCAGTTGTGGACAGGCAATCCAATTTCCCAATGGCAATTTGGATATATCACCTCTCCAAACACTGTTATTTCTTTCTTAGCTTGTTGGTTTAAGAGCATTAAAAACCCAACGTGACCAGGGGGAAGTCTGAGCTTCCAGTTCAATAGAATGTTTTTTGTGGCTCCTGGCAGGAACTCTACCTTCTGAGACCAAAACTTCTAGGCCAGCAGAACTTAGGGATATGGTGTGCTCCTGCCACTAGTGTGCTGGCTGGTCATCCGGGGAGTAATGCTATTGGCAGATGTGGCATTCGGCAGCAGTGGGAACCAGGTCAGCCTTGGCGAGTGGAAGTAGTCCATGAAGTCATGCATAGTCCCCATCTCTGCCACTATGGCCCCTTTGTTTGTGTGCCCACTGGACAGTGACGGGAATGGCTGGGGAGAGGCTGACTCTCCTCAGAACAGAACATCTTATCTAATTGACTATGAATGTCCTGACTGAAGTCACCTTTTGATGAGCATTTATATGGGGCACAAATATCTTCAATTTCTTTGCTCATTTGGAGAGATCTGTCCACACACTTCTTCCCCAGAGTCTTTCTCACCGATTTTCCAACTGTGATTTTTTTTGGTTGGATTTATTTACCATCTTCTGATATGTTTATGTGCTACCAATGAACCAGCATAATGTCATCAATGTAGTGCACCAGTGTGATAATCAAGATCTCTTCTAACTAAGTTATGACACAGGGCAGGAGAGTTAAACTATCCTTGAGGCAAAACTGTAAAAGTATATTGCTGGCCTTGCCAACCCAAAATGTATCAGTGGTCTTTATGGACAAGGACTGAGAAAAAGGAATTTGCTAGATCAATAGCTGCATACCATATACTAGTAGGTATGTTAATTTGCTCAAGTAAGGACACTATATCTGGTATGAAGCTGCAATCAGAATTACTACCTGACTGAGTTTTTGATATTCAGCTGTCATTCTCCATGATCTGTCTGTCTTCTGACCAGAGAGAGTTGAAGGGAGATGAGGTGGGAACCACCACCCCTGCATCTTTCAAGTCCTTGATGGTGGCAGTAATTTCTGCAATTTCCCCAGGGATACAATACTGTTTTTGATTCACTATTTTCTTTGTCAGAGGCAGCTCTAAGGGCTTCCATTTAGCCTTCCAACCACAACAGCCCTCACTCCACAGGTCAGGGAAACAGTGTGAGAATTCTGCCATCTTCTAAGTATATCTATCCCAATTACACATTCTGGAACTGGGGAAATGACCACAGGATGTGTTGGAGGGGGCATGTGGGACCTACTATGAACAAACGCCATCAATCACCTGACCTCCATAAACCCCTATTTTAACTGGCAGGCCACAATGTTTCTTGAGATCTCAAGAAACAGCATCAATTAAGAACCAATATTTAATAGCCCCTGGAAAGTCTGATTATTTTCTTTCCCCCAGTGTAGTTACCCTTGTAAAAGGCTGTAGGTACCTCTTGGGGAAGAACTGGAGAAAAACTAACAGCAAAAATTTTAAGAGTCTTATCAAGGTCCTTCCTTAGGGGAGCCTGGCTACCCCTTCATTCAAGGGGTGCTGGGTCTGCAAACTGACTGAAGTCTGGAAATAGATTCACTGGCTGAGACTGCCTTTTGCCAGAATCCAATATAGCCTTTCCTTCATTTGTTTTGAGAACTTTTTTTTTGCTGATACAGATCAAACAAATGCAGTAGGCTTCTTATCTATTTCATGCCTGGAAACACCATGATCAGGCAGTACCAAAGGTCTGTATGAGTCATGCTGTTATAAAATTCATCTTGCCTGTGCTGACCGTTATGAGTTACGTCATTATGAACATTGTTTTGTCTCTGCTGCCTGTATAACTACAGTCACCTTGCTTCTGCTGATTCAGTGCTGCTACTGGCCCCTACAACCCCAGTGCCCAATCAAACCCATTGCCTTTCATTCATTCAGTTGAGCCCCAGCATCTCCAACCCTCAGATCTGGCATAAGACACCAAAGCTCTTCAAATGTGCTGGTGCCCCCTCACCATTTTGCATCTTATAGGATTAGTGGAGGGCGTGTCTTCTGGGCCTTCTCACTGTGAAGGATTAGGTGGGTTTTTTTTTTGTTTGTTTGTTTTGTTTTTTAGGTTTTTGGAGACAGGGTTTCTCTGTGCAGCCCTGGCTGTCCTGGAACTCACTCTGTAGACCAGGCTGGCCTTGAACTCAGAAACCCACCTGCCTCTGCCTCCCAAGTGCTGGGATTAAAGGTGTGCACCACCACTGCCCGGCAGAGGATTAGGTTTTACACAGCAAACCTATTCTTGCATTGCAACTTCCCTGAGCCATAAAACCACTTCATCAACACTAAGCCAAGGAATATCTAGCATGTGTGAATCCCTAGGTCCAGTCTCTAATGCTACAAAAATAAAACTCCTGCATGGTTTGCATTTGGGATAGTGTCTTGAAATGTAGCCCAGGCTGACCTAGAACTTTGCAGCTTCCCAGAGGGCTGATTGTGAATTATCATGTCTGCATGTCTGTGTAAAAGGGTTATTATTATTATTATTGTGTAGGGCTTTACATTTCTTATTTTAATTAATTTAATTTAGAGACAAGGTCTCATTCTGTAGCCTGGGATGACCTGTGACACATTCCTGAGTGCTGGGATTACAGGCATTGGTGCTTTTTTGTTTTGTTTTGTGTGTCCTGTCCATGGTGCTCCCACGAACCGACCTCCTTGCTGGTGTAGACAAACCCTTTACCGTTGAGCCGTACCACAAGCCCACAGGCATGGTTTTAATTCTTAATGAGAACATTAAAAGAAAACCAAACTTTTTACACCTATGTTTTTGTGTGCTCGTGTGCCACTGTGGTGTGTGAAGGTCAGAGGACAACTTGTCAGAACTGGTTCTTTTTCCATAGTGTGAGCCTAAAGGATTGAACTCAGGTGGTCACTCTCTTTGGCCAGAAACATTAACTGCTGAGCCATCTCTCTGGCCCAACATTATTTTTGTTGGCAAAGGGACACAGGGATAAGGAATAATGTCTTTTTTTTCCTTCTGCAGACTGATGCTTTGAGAGAGCGGTGGTGTCCAGGGTTCTTTCTCTCCCAAACCATTCTCCTGCACCCTCCTCTTTTTTTGTTAAGTAGCGGCTACAGACAATGAGCATACTTGGGTTCACACTTCAAAAACCACAATGGGCTTGGAGGTCTCCCACTCTGCTCGAGGAAAGGACGCCACTGTCTCTAGCTATAGTACAATGCTTTTCATATAGCAGGTACTCAGTTATTTTGGATGAAAGTGCCTTTTAGGAATATTCATTTGGTAAGTGGATGATGAACTGGGCTCTCGAGTCAGAAAGAGATGAGATGCGCTTTGTTTCAGCTGTCTTCGTGGGGTCAGGTCAACCCTTCTAAACCAACTTCAGACAAGGGGAATAAAGTCCACATCTGGGATACAAATATACAAACAACTCTTAGTGCCCGACAGAGAAGCTGGGCTGGAGCGTCGCGCGACAGCTAGCCAGCGATGGGTCAGGTGACTGCTTTCCCTTGGCAACGGTTTGTTCCTAGCAACCGGGCTGCTGGTCCAGGCGGAGCTGCCAGTGGATGGGAGATCGCCGCCATGAATCCATCAGGAACCATGGGGGTCCTAGAGCAGAATGGGGAAGAACACTTAGCCACCCCGATTCTCGGGCCCTCGGTGCATTCAGATAACCCGCAGGAGCGGATCCAGGCCCGGCGCCTGCGCATCGCTGCCCGCCAGGAAGCCCGAAGGCGGTGAGATGAGTGGCAGGGTGGTTTGATGGGAAGCCCAGAATGGGACCAGGCTGGGTGGGAGCCCTGCGGTGAGGGTGAGGTGTGTGTGTGTGTGTGTGTGTTTGTGTGTGTGTGTGTGCGCACACACACACACATGCACGCGCGCCCTGGTGTGAGCAGGAAAATGTTTCTTCTAGAACATTCAAGCAAGTGTGAGTTTTGGGACAGCTAGAGCTACATAGTGGGACCTTGTCCCAATATTTTAAAATAAAAACAAAAGATTCTAGGTCAGATTTAGTCCAGAGGCTATAATTTGTTGATCTGATGTAATGGAGTGTGGTCTGTGAAAGGGTCAGTTATCTCCAATCTACTGAGAATACCTTATAACAAAGACCAGGACAGTTACCACAGCCGGTGAGCATATGTGATTGTGTGTTCCACGCAGAGGTGAACACCTTGATCCTTTTTTTTTTTTTTTTTGGTTTTTCGAGACAAGGTTTCTCTGTGTAGCCCTGGTTGTCCTGGAACTCACTCTGTCACTCTATAGACCAGGCTGGCCGCGAACTCAGAAATCTGCCTGCCTCTGTCTCCCAATTGCTGGGATTAAAGGTGTGCGCCACCACCACCTGGCTCACCTTGATCCATTTTTAAAATTAAAAAATAAAATAAAGCCAGGGTTAGTAGCTTATGCCTTTAATCTCAGTACTGGAGAGGCAGAGGCAGGCAGATCTCCTTGAGATCAAGGCTCGCCCGGTCTGTAGAGGAAAGTCTTGACACCTCAAAATAAAATAAATAAAGTAATAAAATAAAATAGAGTAAGAGCTTTCATTTCACTTAGTGGCCACACTCACTGGGCTCAAGACCGTGTCCATCGATCTACTGAAGCAAAGACGGGGCAGCTGCTTGCTTGTGCTTGCAGAAATTGATGATCATTGTCTAAAATCCATCCAGGTACTGCAAGTGCCAGACCCATGAGTTAAGAGGGGTGTGACAGGGGCCGCTACTCTTGCATCCCCACCACACTCCCTAGGTTTTGGTGTCTTTGTTGGCTTAGGTACAGTTTAAGGGACATCCGTTTGGCTTCTGCACGATGAGAGCTCTTATTCACTGGTCACCAGACTTCATGTGACAGTTCTTCAACTTCTAAGTCGTTCATTCCATTTTTACTTTTGGTGGTCCACAGACCTAGCAGAAGCATAAGACAGAGGTCTGTGTGCCTCCATCCTAGTTGGATATGGTCAGCATCTCTAGGTACTGTGGTAACTCAGATCTGCTTTTAATTGTCCTAACACGGTCTGGGTGTCTCCTTCCCTAACAGTTCCCTGATGACATCAGTCCCCTTGGGGAAGGGCTAGGAGCATCATTACACTATGAATTTGCTGTTGTGTTCCATGTTCTTCCTCCTGGGATCCCTGCCAGCCCTTTAGTTAGGAGGTTCTGGGATGAGGACTGGGGTTGGCTCGGGAACTGGGCAAGGCAGAATCATCCTTGGTATGTCCGTCTGTTGCTGCTATCTTTGGCTAACAGATGAACTGGACTCTGTCTATCCTTCTACTTGGCTCCAAATGATGCCGCATGTATCCATCTCCAAAGCTGTCTACGGATCATGGTCGTGGTTGTTGCTGTGGCCTTTAACAATGAGACAGGGAATTCAGTGATGTGCAAGAAGTTTATATTCTAATGAGGAAGAGAGGACAAATTAAAGTGAACAGACGAAGTAAGTGTCACTGTAACTATGAGCTATGACAAGGACAGCAAGGGGAGAGGAGACTAGTGGGTGTGGGCCCTAAATCCAGGCAGCTAGAAAGGGTGGCCTGAAGCTTGAGAAAGAACCAGCTTCATAAGGAGGCACTGAGCTAGGTTATATTAAGACATTTATTGTCAAGTGGAATGGCATACAACTTTAATCCCAGCACTTGGGAGGCAGAGACAGGAGGATCTCTGAGTTCAAGCCAGCCTGGTCTACAGAGAGAGTTCCAGGACAGCCAGGGCTACACAGAGAAACCCTGTCTTGTAGGGGTTGGGGTTGGGGGACATTTATTGAGTGTGATAACAGAATGTGATAATGTCTAAACAAAATTAAGGCCACTCTCCTGATGGACAGGGTGTCACTTTCACCTTCACATTACTCAGCTCACTGTTCGGGGAACGGTGTGAAGGGGCTGAGGAGACCTGGGCAGGAAGGAGACAGTTCACTCTGGTTCTGATGAGGGACAGGATTGGCCTGGACTCTGTGGCAATGATTTAGAGAGAAGCAGATAGACTCAGGACAAATTTTGAAGTTGAATCTGATGGATGCTTCTGATTGGCTGTTTGAGCAGAAGACAGTGTGACCTCTGTGTGTGCCATGGTTTGAGTACACACACATACACACACACACACACACACACACACCCCAAATGACTAGATAAATAATATTTTTTTAAAAAGATAGGCGCCATCAGGTGTGGTGGCATATTCCTATAACCCTGCCCTTGGGAGGCAGAGGAAGGCAGGCATTACTGAATTTGAGGCCATCTGGTCAAAATAGGGAGTTCCAGGCCAGCCAGGACAGCAGCATAATGAAACCCTGTCTCAAAAATAAGACAAAACAAAACATGAAAGAGATGTGGCGCCTTTAATCCCAGCACTTGGGAGGCAGAGGCAGGCAGATTTCTGAGTTCGAGGCCAGCCTGGTCTACAAAGTGAGTTCCAGGACAGCCAGGGCTACACAGAGAAACCCTGTCTCGAAAAACCAAACCAAAAGAAAGAAAGAAAGAAAGAAAGAAAGAAAGAAAGAAAGAAAGAAAGA